AACTATTCACAAATATACACCAAAGAAAACACTCCATTATGTATACATATTTATGTATGAAAACTAACCTATACAATACAGGAGTTCTAATTTCAGCTAACCCAGAATAATCACACCCAACCCATTACCTCCTACTGAATACAGCTATAAAATATGAACAGAATGCATGCAGCAGCTATTTGAGGACTCTGGAAAGTAAATTGTACCACACAAACTGAGGAAAAACAACAGAATTTGAAGCAGAACTGAACTGGCAGTGAATTTACCATTTTTCTCCTCCAGTCTCCACTAGACTAGACTCAAGGCAGCTGAAAACCCAGAAGGGAGCATCAACATGGACAGTGAAAGCTCTAGGAAAAGCAGAAAATTGGTCTCCTAATAGTCAGAGAAAGTAGGAGAAATGTGCCATTTTCCTTTTTTTTTTTTTTCTCCATTCTCTTGCTTCTTAGCCAATAAGCAATCCCACTGTGGCAGCTGAGTCAACAGTGACAATGGAGAAAGCAGTACGCTCAAGCACCCCAAAATGCTGAGGGAGGGGAGAAACTTCCTCTCTGTTTAGAGTAGCTCTGGTCCCAAGACAGTGGGGCCAAACCCTCAATGATATATATTTTTTTCACTCTCTCTGTCCTGATGCTTGGCCCAAGACATGGGCAAAGTTGCAGGAAATACATAACAGAGAGGATTAAAAAAAGACCCAGATTTCCGGACAGGTTTGGTGGCTCACCCCTGTAATCCCAACACTTTGGGAGGCCGAGGTGGGAGGACTGGTTGAGGCCAGAAGTTGAAAAACAGCCTGGGCAATATAGCAAGACCCTGTCTCTACGAAAAATTTAAAAACAAAATGAGCTGGGCATGGTAGTGCTTGCCTATAGTCCTAGCTACTCAAGAGGCTAAGGTGGGAGGATCACTTGAGCTCAGGAGTTTGAGGCTGCAGTGAGCAATGATCATACCACTGCACGCCATACTGGGCGACAGAGCAAGACCCTCTCTTTAAATAAATAAATAGCTGAGATTTCTTGCCAATTGATTAAAAGGGGAACTCCAAGGCATTACAAAGTACCAAGGAGACAGTAGAGACAGCAGGACCCTGTGAAAGGTCCTCATAAAGTTGTTATGAACTCCTAGGTTTATCTCAACCTGCACATGGATCTGATCCTAAACAGCATACCAAAGGCTGTGATAATTGAACTAAGAGGCAGACCACCACCCAAGCCCTAGACTAGCCACTGGATAAAACACATGTAAGACAGATCTGAATAGCATTGCAAAGTTTTGAAAACTGAATTGACTTTGGAGCTACTATCCACAAAAGGCATGTTGGAACTTATGATCTAAATCCAAGCATGTCTATTACAAGCTAAAACAAAAATATAAATATTTCCCCATAGTATTAAAACAAGATACAACGTCTTATAACATAATATTCAAAATGTCCAGGATACAACCCAAAATTATTCAATACCTAAAGAACCATGAAAATCTTGAGTGGGAAAAGGCAATTCACAGGCACCAATCCTGAGATGACACCAGTGTTGGAAGTATCTGAAAAAGACTTTAAAGCAGCTATTATAATGATGCTCCAACAAGTAAGGACAAATAATCTTGAAATGAATGTAAAGATAAAAGGCTCAGCACAGGAGTAAAAGATAAAAGAAGAACCAAATTGAAATTTTAGGCCGGGCGTGGTGGCTCACACCTGTAATCCCAGCACTTTGGGAGGCTGAGGCAGGCAGATCATGAGGTCAGGAATTTGAGACCATCCTGGCCAACATGGTGAAACCCATCTCTACTAAAAATACAAAAATTAGCTGGGCATGGCGGCATGTGCCTGTAATCCCAGCTACTGGGGAGGCTGAGGCAGAAGAATCGTTTGAACCCAGGAAGTGGAGGTTGCAGTGAGCTGAGACTGCACCACTGCACTCCAGCCTGGGTGACAGAGTGAGACTCCATCTNAAAAAAAAAAAAAAAGAAAGAAAGAAAGAAAGAAATTTTATAAGTGAGGAATACAGTAGCTGGAATTTTAAAACTGACTGGATGGACACAATGGCAGAATAGAGATGAAAGAGTCAGTAAATATGAAAATACATTAATAGAAACTATCCAATATGAATAGCAGAGAAAAAAAAACTGAAAAATAAATAAACAGAGCCACAAAGACCTATAGGAGAATAACAAAATATTTAACATTTGTGTCTTTAGAGTTACAGAAGGAGAAAAGAAAGAGTGTGGTACAGAAAAAAAGATGTAAAAATATAATAACTGAAAACATTCCAGATTAAGCAAAAGACACAAACCTGTAGATTCAAGAACCTCAGCAAACCCCAAACAGGATAAACCCAAAGAATCAAAGCATAGACATACTATATTCAAACTGCTGAAAAGAAAAACAAGGAAAATATATTTAAAGCAGAAAGATAAAAATGACATATTACATGGCCAGGCGCAGTGGCTCACACCTGTAATCCCAGCACTTTGGGAGGCCAAGGTGGGCAGATCACCTGAGGTCTGGAGTTCGAGACCAGCCTGATCAACACGGAGAAACCTCGTCTTTACTAAAAATACAAAAAAAATTAGCCAGGCGTGGTGACGCATGCCTGTAATGCAAGCTACTTGGGAGGGTGAGGCAGGAGAATCACTTGAACCAGGGAAGTGGAGGTTGCAGTGAGCCGAGATCACACCATTGCACTGCAGCCTGGGCAACATACAGGGTAACAACAATTCAGATGACTATGGATTTCTCATCAGAAACCAAGAAGATCATAAAGACACGCATAGCATGTTTACTGTGCTGAAAGAACTATTAACTCAAAATAATACATCCAACAAAAATAGATTTCAGTGTGAATAACACCAATACTGCACAATCTCTTCTAGAAAGTCAGTTGAAGAAAGCTACATACCAATATCTCTCATGAACTGAGACATAAAAATTCTCAACAAAATACTAGTAAATTAAATCTAACAATGTATAAAAAGAAGTATACACCATGACCAAGTGGTATTTATCCTAGGATTACAAGGCTTGTTCAACATGAGAAAATTAATCAATGCAATCCGCCATATTTACTGTTTAACGAAGAAAAGCCACATGATTATATTCACTGATGCAGAAAAAGCATTGAGAAAATTCAACATCTATTTATGATAGCTTTCAGCAAAATAGTAGTAAAAGGGAACTTCTTTGACCTGATAAAAAGCAGGTCAAAAAAAATGTGTACGATAAAACACATACGAAAGCTAGCATTATTCTGAAGATAAAAGACTAAATTCTTTCTCCCCAAGGTCAGGAAAAGGCGAGAAAGTCCACTATCATCACTTTTAGTCAACATTGTATTGGAACTCCAAGTCAATGCAATGAGACAGAAAAAAGAAGTAAAAGGCATACATATATAGCAAAAATCACAATATATAATTTTTTTTTTTGAGATGGAGTCTTGTTCTGTCACCCAGGCTGGAGTACAGTGGTGCAATCTCGGCTCACTGTAACCTCTGTCTCCCGGGTTCAAGCAATGATCCTCCCTCAGCCTCCCAAGTGGCTGGGATTACAGGCCTGTGCCATCACACCTGGCTAATTTTTTTGTATTTTTGGTAGAGATGGAGTTTCACCATGTTGGCCAGGCTGGTCTTGAACTCCTGACCTCAGGTGATCCACCCGCCTCAGCCTCCCAAAGTGCTGGGATTACAGGTGTGAGCCACTGCACCCGGCCACAATATATAAATTTTAATGGAATGCTGGGGAAACAGAGGAACTAAAAACAGAGGGAACAAAAGGAAAAGGGAGGAAAAAAGAGAAGTTCTCAAGGATATTAGAAAATTTCTCTTATTTGTTTGAAGTGAGCCAAGATCACAGCCTGGACAAAAAGAGCAAAACTCCGTCACAAAAAAAAAAAAAAAAAAAAAAAAAAATTTCTCCTATTCATAGATAATATGATCATCTACTTAGAAAAATCCCATGAAATCTACAAAATCCTAGAACTAAATAAGTGAGTTTAGGAAGATCTCAAGGTACAAGGTCAGCACACAAAAACCAATCATATTTCTATATACAAGCTGCGTGTAATTGAAGATAAACTTTTTTTTTTGGCAGAGTCTGGCTTGTCACCCAGACTGGAGTGCAATGGTGTAATCTCAGCTCACTGCAACCTCTGTCTCCCAGATTCAAGTGATTCTCCTGCCTAAGCCTCCCAAGTAGCTGGGATTACAGGCGCCCACCACCACACCTAGCTAATTTTTGTATTTTTAGTAGAGATGAGGTTTCCCTATGTTGGCCAAGCTGGTCTTGAACTCCTGACCTCACGTGATCCACCCACCTCGGCCTCCCAAAGTGCTGGGATTACAGGTGTGAGCCACTGCACCCAGCTAAAAAAATCTTTAAAATGTATCATTCACAATAGCATAAAAGAAAAATATTTAGTTATAAATTTAACAAAACATGTCCAGGATCTATATGCTAAAATCTATAAAATGTTGACAAAAGAAATCAAAGAAGGCCTGAATAAATGAAGAGACATACTATGTTCGTGGATTGAAAGACCTCGTACAAAAAATTTTAGTAAGATTATAGGTTTAAATGCAACATACAAAACTGTGTAACAGTTACAAGAAAACATAAGAACACCTTCCTGATCTTGGATTAAGCAGAGTGCTTAGATATGACACCAAAAGCACAATCCTTATATGAAAAACATTGATAATTGGACTGCATCAAATTTAGAAGTTTTTGCTCTGCAAAAGACACTTTTAAGGTAATGAAAAGACATGCTACAGAGTGGGAGAAAATATTTACAAAACATATTCAACAAAGGACTTATATCCATAGTATATAAGAAACTCTCTGAACTTAACAGTCAGAAAACAACCCAGTTGAAAAATGGGCAGAAGGTTTGAACCAACACTTTACAAAAGACGATCTGTGGGTGAGAAATCACTACATGAAGAGATGTTTAACATTAGCCATTAAGGAAATAAAAATTAATACCATGAGTCTGCGTCCAGGGAACATGGCAGTGGCAGCAGCCAGACTGTGGTGGTGGGAGATCATGGGGGCTGCAGTGCTGACCAGGTGGGCTGGGTGACCTTCAGTTCTGTTGCTGGTGGTGAGGCATAAGAGCATCGGGGCTGACATGTGCCCCACTGGAAGACCACGGAATGATGTGGCCCACAAGCAGCTTCAGCTTTTGTAGAGTATGTGGCTGAAATCCTGCCCAAGTATGTCCAACAAATTGAGGTGTCCTTCAATGAGTTAGAGATCTGTATCCATCCTGATGGCATCATCCCAGTGCTGACTTTCCTCAAGGATAATACCAATGTACAGTTCAAATCCCTGGCTGACTTGACAGCAGTGGACGTCCCGACTCAGCAGAACCATTTTGAGATTGCCTACAACCTGTTGTCTCTGTGCTTCAACTCACAGATCAGTGTCAAGACCTACATAGATGAGCTGACGCCCATTGAATACATTATATCTGTGTTCAAGGAAGCCAACTGGTATGAGAGGGAGATCTGGGACATGTTTGGAGTCTTCTTTGCTAACCACCCGGATCTGAGAAGGATCCTGACAGATTATGGCTTCGAGGGACATGCTTTCCAGAAAGACTTCCCTCTATCTGGCTATGTTGAGTTATGCTATGATGACGAGGGGAAGCGGTGGTGGCAGAGCCAGTGGAGTTGGCCCAAGAGTTCTGCAAATTTGACCTCAACAGCCCCTAAGAGGCTTTCCCAACCTATCACCAACCCCCAGAGAGTATCAAGCTTGAAGCCAGAGAAAAGAAGCCTGAAGCCAAGTAGCTCTAGGGAAGGCATGTGGATCCTAGAAAGCACCTTATAATTGAATGTCTGTGTAAGTAAATTCCTACTTAGACTAAAAAAAAAAATTAATACCATGATTACCACCTATTAGATTGGCTTAGAATATTAGAAATAGAATGACTAAATAAAAAATACTGACAACACCAACTGGAGATGAGAACGAAGAGCCCCTGGAACTCTCATGTTGCTGGTGGGAATGCAAAACAGTAAGCCATGCTGGAAGACAGTTTGGCAGTTTCTTATAAAGTTAACATGCATTTATCCATAAGAACAAGCAATCCCACTCCTAGGTATATATGTATATATCCAAGGGAAGTGAAAATGTATTCATCCAAAAACCTGCACATGGATTTTTTGTTCCTGTTTTGAGACAGTCTCCCTCTGTCGCCCAGGCTGAAGTGCAACGGCACAATCTTGGCTCACTGTACCCTCCGCTTCCCAGGTTCAAGCAATTCTTGTGCCTCAGCCTCCCAAGTACCTGGAATTACAATCATGTGCCACCATGCCCAGCTGATTTTTGTTATTTTTAGTAGAGATGGGGTTTCGCCATGTTGGCCAGGCTGGTCTTGAACTCCTGGCCTCAAGTGATCCACCCATCTCAGCCTCCCAAAGTGCTAGGACAACAGGTGTGAGTCAACCGCATCCAGTTTTGTACATGGATGTTAATACAGCTTTATTTATAATAGCCCAAAAACTGAAAACCACCCAAATGTCCTTCAGTGGGTGAATGAATAAAAAACTGTTGTCTGTTCATACAATGGAATACCATTCAGCAATAAAAATGAATGAATAATTGATATAATAATAATTTAGATGAATCTCAAAGGCATGCCGAGTGGAAGTGAGTCTCAGAAGGTTGCATACTGTATGATTCCATTTTCATGACATTCTTGAAAAGATAAAAGTATAGTTACAGAGAATGGATCAGTAGTTTCTGGGGCTTAGTGGGGGGGGTATAATTATAAAGGGATAACACAAGGGAGGTTTGGGGGTGATGGAACTGTCCTATATTTGATTGTAATGATGGTCGTATGAATCTGTACATATGTTAAATTCATATAATTGTACAAGAAAACTATTACTATAACTTAATTTAAATAATTTCTCTCTGTCATATGTTAACAAACCCCCTGCTTACCCTGGAACATGCTACAATTTTATATTAGTTTAAGATGGCGGTTAAGGCCTCAAGAAGTACCCATGAGCTATGTCCTGGGTTCAGTTATCCTGAAATGTGGCAGGTGAGGAAAACTGAAACCTAAAATTCAGGCACACCCACAGGACACTATGAAATATATGGACATAAATATTAGCATTGGTGAGGCATGGTGGCTCACACCTATAACCCCAGCACTTTGGGAGGCTGAGGCAGGTGGATGACTTGAGGTCAGAAGTTTGAGACCAGCCTGGCCAACATGGTGAAACCTCGTCTCTACTAAAAATAGGAAAATTAGCCGGGCATGGTGCTGGCATCTGTAATCCCAGCTACTTGGGAGGCTGAGGCAGGAGAATCACTTGAACCCGGGAGGCGGAGGTTGCAGTGAGCCGAGATGGCGCCATTGCACTCCAGCCTGGGTGACAGAGCAAGACTCCGTCTCAAAAAAAAAAAAAAAGAACCAGGAAGGAAGCTTCTCCTCTCTGGCTGCCTTCCACTCTCTGACGAATGCCTCCCATTGGCAGCACCTCAGCAGCAGCAACCAGACCTCCTAAGAGGCCCTCATATCTATTCTGCAGGGCCTTTGCTCTGTAGGTTCTGGCAATCCGACCTCTCCCCTGTTGTTCTTCCAAGTTTAGGGATAGTAGCTGCTTCTTGTAGTTATTATCTCTGGGTTCTCTCACAGTTGCCTCTTTGCTCTCTCATTTCTGCAGTACCTATGTAACCAATTCCTTATCTTAACTTCCTTTGTGGGAACATGTAGTGGCCTGTTTTCTCGTGGACCCTGACTGATACTCCAGCCTCTGGAGACTTGAAGTATAGAGTCAGAGGGCAACCACTTGTAAGGCTGACCCTGCATTTCTTATTGGGCCTCTGATTGCATTTGTTCCTGCACTTGAAGATAAAATCACAATTTCAAAGCATGGTACACAAGGCCTATGGTAGACTTTGCTGGTGGGTCCTAATATTTCTGATTCCCTTCTTGTAAAATGGGTGGATTGCATTGATTGCACTTTTCACCTCTTTGATGTTTGTGGTGACTTTATGACTTGCTTTGGCCCACGAAATGAGAGTAGAAGTGGTGAATGTCATTCCTGGGCAAAAAGTATTTAACAGCAGATGCATGTGTTCTCTCCACCTGCGGCAGTGAGTCCTGAAGCCTCAGGCTGAGATGGTAAATTATAAGGTGGAAAAGCCTGTGTGTGACATGTAGCCTGGGAGAGAATTTTTATTTTACTTCATGGTTGTTACCACAGTGTAATGTAGCCTATCTTGACTACTACATTTGTGATCAGACCCTGCCACTGCCCCTCCTTCCCACTCTTCCCTAAATGCATCAAAATATCTTACTCCTTTGAGTGGCTGCATATGCTCCACCTCTTGCTTTACCAACCATTTTGACCTGGCAACTACTGCTAGTTGTTCAAAGCCCAGTTCAGATGCTACCTACTCCAAGAATCCTCCTTTTTGGAAACAGATGTTTGGTGCTGCAGTGAAAAATTAGTGCTGAGACAAACGATCTTTTAGCAACCCAATTTTTACTTCCTGGACTGCAGGAAGGGTACCCTTGCTAGCCACCTTACCATGAGAGAACAACGAACAAAGGCAAACAGACATATTTATCCCTTACTGCTGTGTCTGATCTCCGTTGGCTGGAGCCAGACCTCACAATTTATAAACTAAAACCCGATTGGCTAACAACTTAAAACTTTTCCAAACAGGTAAAAGCAATGAAGAGTTGGGACATGCCTGTGAGCACGTCCTGCACAGATATCTTGGTTAAAGTATAAGGACATAGAATGTATTGCCTGCCTGTAAGCATGGCATGTTTAACAGCTACATAGGATAGGGCTTAACAAAGTGTTATTAGCACACTTATTCTTTAACAAGAAAGGAAATTTTAAAGAGGAACTTCTCTACTTCCCATACTCCTTCATCTGGATTTGGGATGTTTCCTGTAT